AAAAAGCATTGTTTACGTGTTTTTACAATGCATTATTCTATCTGTAATATTGCTTGCAGTATATAAGCGGTTCTTAAATTTTATGCTTTTATTGCACTGTTAGTTTAGCTACTAAAGTATCATAACCCACAGACACCCTAAGGCTCTCCTCCTGTGAATACCTTAGTTCTGAAAGATTGTTCTCCATACTGATGCTCTTGCATGATGGAGAAAGAAAGTACTCCAGAGGCAAACTTTCATTTTACAGAAGAACACATTTAGGTTCTGAAAAATAAAATAAACTGCCTAATCTCACACAGATAATAAATGAGTGCTCTCTCCCGGACTAGAATTCAAATGTATTGGCTTGCAGTCCACTCTTGATTTCATTATTCAAGTATATTCAAGATATTACTACTAGTCAAAGTTTGAAATGAATTTCTAAACTCAGTCTTCCTTGGTTTTAACACTTTGTAAGTTTTCAGAGATGCTCAACACATGTTGTTTAGAATGATCTGGGGAAAGCATGGATTTGTGTGTCTGGCTCTCTCTGGATTGATTCAGCCTACAGAGTCTTTTATTTTTGGAACTTAGACTTTTATTACAAATTAAATGGTAATGCACTGGAGGTAATACTAATTAATGAATTCAGCATTAGCTGTTGAGAATATCACTCTGCTTACTGTGATGAGGAAGAAGAGGTCTCTACCACATTGGACTTCAATGATTTATATCTGGAGATTTACATAGATTTATATCTGGAAGGGAAAGTATCTAATTATCTAGGTCCCAGAAAGTTCTAAGTTGCTTAAATGAAGTCATTGAAAACCATTCATCTAGACAGCTGAGACTGTTGAAAAGGAGGATTGGAAGCAGGGGCTGTTGGCAAATTATTCCTACTTCTGGGGAAAACCTTGTGAACTTTCAAGTGAGGTAATTATCTGCTTTGACTACCTAACAGTATCTTCCTGACTCTTTGTAATTATCTGATGCCTGGCCAGATTATTATTATTTTTTTAAAGTGTACATTATAGGCTAGGCATGGTGGCTGACACCTGTAATCCCAGCACTTTGGGAGGCCAAGGCTGGCAGATGACCTGAGTTTAGGAGTTCAAGACCAATCTGGCCAACATGGTGAAACCCTGTCTCTACTAAAAATACAGAATTAGCTGTGCTTGGTGGCACATGCCTGTAATCCCAGCTACTCAGGAGGCTGAGGCAGGAAAATCTCTTGAACCCGGGAGGGGAGGGCTGGAGTGAGCCGAGATAGTGCCATTGCATTTCGGCCTGGGTGGCAGAGCGAAACTGTCTTAAAAGAAAAAAACAGTACATCATATAGTTAGGGTAGCTAAAAAATAAAATGAAAAGATAGAAATTACAAATTACTAATAGCAGAAATAGAAGAGGGGAGTTAGGGGATTTCAGTGTAGTTCCCACAGACATTATAATAATAATAAAAAAATGCTACAAAAAATTATATGCTCTCAAATTTGATAAGCTCTAAGAAATCCACCAGTTTATTGAAAGATACAACCTGCCAAAACTCACACAGGCACAAAAGAAGAAATAGGGAATTTACTTTTCTTTAATTTTTTTTAACTTGCATATGTCAGAACAGAAAGTAGACAATCTAAATAGTGCCATATTTATTAAAGAAATTGAATCAATACTTAATAGTGAAAATAGAAAAAAGACAGGTGGGCTTACTGATGAATTTTGATACACCTATAAAGAAAAAAACTACACCAATTTTTATGTCTTTTAGAAGACAGAGAAGAGATTACTTTTTTCCTTCTTTCTTTTTTTTTTTTATTGTACTTTAGTTCTGGGGTACATGTACAGATCATGCAGGATTGTTGCATAGGTACATACATGGCAATGTGGTTTGCCCCATCACCTATATCTGATATTTCTCCCCATGTTATCCATCCCCACCCCCTGCTATCCCTCCCCTAGTCCCACCAACAGACCCCAGTGTGTGATGCTCCCCTCCTGTGTCCATGTGTTCTCACATGTTCAACACCTGCCTATTGAGAACATTTGGTGTTTGAATTTTCTGTTCTTGTGTCAGTTTACTGAGAATGATGGTTTCCAGATTCATCCATGTCCTTACAAAGGACACGAACTCATTGCTTTTTATGGCTGCATAGTATTCCATGGTGTATATGTGCCACATTTTCCTTATCCAGTCTATCATCGGTGGGCATTGAGGCTGGTTACAGGTCTTTGCTATGGTAAACAGTGCTGCAATGAACGTATGTGTGTATGTGTCTTTATAATGGAGTTGCTGGATCAAATGGAATTTCTATCTCTAGGTCCTTGAGGAATCACTGCACTGTCTTCCACAATGGTTGAACTAATTTGCACTCTCACCAACAGTGTAAAACTTTTCCTATTTGTCGACATCTTCACCAGCATCTGTTGTCTACAGAGTTTTTAATGATCGCCATTCTAACTGGCATGAGATGATATCTCAGTGTGGTTTTAATTTGCATTTCTCTAAAGACCAGTGTTGATGAGCATTTTTTCATGTTTGTTTGCCTCAAATATGTCTTCTTTTGAAAAGTGTCTGTTCACATCATTTGCCCACTTTTGAATGGATTTGTTTGTTTTTTCCTTGTAAATCTGTTTTAGGTCTTTGTAAACTCTGGATATTAGCCCTTTGCCAGATGGGTAGATTGCAAAAATTTTTTCCCATTCTGTTGGTTGCCAGTTCACTCTAATGATTGTTTCTTTTGCTATACAGAATCTCTGGAGTTTAATTAGATCCTATTTATCTATTTTGGCTTTTGTTGCCAGTGCTTTTGGTGTTTTAGTCATGAAGTTCTTGCCTATGCCTATGTCCTGAATGGTTTTGCCTAGGTTTTCTTCTAGGGTTTTTATGGTGTTAGGTCTCATGTTTAAGTCTTTAATCCATCTGGAGTTAATTTTAGTGTCAGGTGTCAGGAAGGGGTCCAGTTTCTGCTTTCTGCACATGGCTAGCCAGTTTTCCCAACACCATTTATTAAACAGGGAATCCTTTCCCCATTGCTTGTTTTTGTCAGGTTTGTCAAAGATCAGATGTTTGTAGATGTGTGGCATTGTGTCTGAGGCCTCTGTGCCATTCCATTGGTCTGTATCTCTGTTTGGTACCAGTACCATGCTGTTTTGATTACTGTAGCCTTGTAATGTATTTTGAAGTCAGGTAGTGTGGTGCCTTCAGCTTTGTTCTTTTTGCTTAGGATTGCCTTGGCTATGTGGGCTCTCTTTTGGTTCCATCAAGCTACCAATGACCCTCTTCACAGAACTGGAAAAAAATACAGTTTTTTTTTTTTTTTTGAGATGGAATCTGGCTCTGTCATTAGGCTTCTTGCCTTGCCTCCCAAGGTGTTGGGATTACAGGCGTGAGCCACTGTGCACAGGTGAGACTACTTCTTAATGTATTCTATGAGGACAGCATTCCCATTATGCCCTAATCAGATAAAGACATTATAAGAGAACATCTCATGAAGGTAGAGAGTAGAATGGTGGTTTCTAGAGGCTGGGAAGGGAAGTAGAGAAAATAAAGAGAAATTTACTAAGGTGTACAAAAATACAGTGAGATAGAAAAGAAGTTCTAGTATTCTATAGTATGGTAAGGAAATATAGTTAATAATTATTTATTAAATATTTCAAAATAGCTAGAAAAGAAGAACTATAATGTTTCCAACACCAGGAAAAGATAAATGTTGAGATGATGACTATTTTAATTTACTCTGATTTGAGCATTACACATTGTATATATTTATGAAAATATCACATGTATCCCTAAAATATGTTTAACTATTATACACCAACAAAAACTTAAAAAAGTAAAAAAGCTACAGACCAAAATCTCTCATGAACATAGATGCAAAGTAGGATTGTCCCATGTTTATAAGGCTGGTTAAAAACTTAAAAATTAATTAATGAAATTCATTACATCAACACTCTAAAAAGATCATCTGATCATATAAATAGATGAAAAACAAAAGTACTTGAAAAATTCAACATCCATTCAGAAAAACTATAAGTAACCTTGGAATAGTGGAGAACTTCCTCAACTTGATAAAGAATATCTGCAAAAATCCTACAGCTAACATAGTATCTGTGATGAGTCAAAAGAAACAAAGCCCTGTTATGAAGGATACATCATCTTATGTGATGATTGTTGAGACTGCATTCTAAACAGTTACAACTTAAATAACTAGACCGAGTTTCTGAATTAAGGAATGTCAAAGTCAAACTTGATCCATATAATAAAAATATTTAGGAAAAATCATGGCATTGTTACTATTTTTCCTTTATTTGTTAGCTCTACTGCCTCCATCAGCAAAGTAGAAAAATATCTAGTCATTTCTTAGTATTTAATCAACCGTACTGAAAAGAGAAAGAAGATGTTTAATTCTCTATCTCTTCACTATTAAGTAGGTTACCTGGGAATGATTATTATAGATTATTATTCACATCTCACATCCTTTACAATTATAACTCAAAGTGAATTATAGGCCTACATGTAAAACACAAAACTGTGGAACTTCTACAAGTTTGAAACCTAGATGACCCTGGGTATGGTGATTATTAACATCAGAGGCGAATCCTTAAAAAAAATTGATAAACGGGACTTCAGTAAAATTATAGATTTCTGCTTTGTGAAGGGCAATGTCAAGAGAATGGAACAAGAAGTTACAGATTGGGAGAAAATTCTTATAAAAGACATATCTGATAAAGGACTGTTATTCAAAATATGCAAATAAATGTTAAAATTTAATAATAAGAGGTCAGCCACTGTAACTCAAACCTGCAATCCTAGCACTTCAGAAGACTGAGGCAGGAAGACTGCTTGAGGCCAGGAGTTTGAGGCCAGCCTGGGCAACATAGTGACATCTCATCTTTACAAAAACATAAAAATTAATAAGAATACAAACAACTCGATTAAAAACTAGGCCAAAGATCTAAACAGACACAACATGAAGAGGACATACACATGGTAAATAAGGATACGAAAAGATGCTCCACCTTACATGTCATTAGGGAAATGCAAATTAAAACAACAATGAGATACCACTGCACATCTATCAGAATGGCCCAAATCCAAAACACTAAAAATATCAACTTCTCATGAGGTTGGTGAACAGGAATTCTCATTAATTACTGGTGGGAATGCAATGTTACAGTCACTGTGGAAAACATTTTGGCATTTTCTTACAAAACTAAACATCCCCTTATAATACAATCTAGCAAGCATGCGCCTTGGTATTTACCCCAAAAAGAAGAAAATGTATTCCACAAAAAACCTGTGCATGGATATTTATAGCAGCTTTATTCATAATCACCAAAACTTGAAAGCAACTAAATGTCCTTATTAGGTGAATGGGTAAATAAATGGTGTTACACGTAGACAATGAAATGTTATTCAGCACTAAAAATAAATGAATTATCTAGCTCTGAAAAGACATGGAGGAACCATAAAAGCATATTACTAAATAAAATAAGCAAAACTGAAAAGTGTTCATACTGTGTGATTCCAACTATATGACATTCTGGAAAAGGCAATATTACGGCATCAGTAAAAATGGTGGGTGGTTGTCAAGGCTAATCTTGGAGGGAGGGACCCACAGGCAGAGCACAGAGAACTGTTAGGATAGTGAAAATATTTTGTATGTTACTATAATGGAGGATATATGCCATTATATTTTTGTCAAAACCCATAGAATCTATCAAAAATGAACACAAATGTAAACTTTGGGTGACGATGTATCAATATATGCTCATTGATTGTAACAAAATGCTCCTCAGGTATGAGATGTTGATAATGTGAAATTTGGGGTCGGGGGCAGGGGGATATTCTAACACTCTGTGTTTTTCACCCAGTTTTTATGGGAACCTAAATTTTCTCTAAAATCAGTTTATTAGAAATGCATTATAACATTTTATATTTAAATGATAATAATTTTATACCTGGAGCATAAGTAAACTCAGAACTAAAATATATGGAGCACTTTTCATGTGCAAAGAAATTATCTAAATACCTTAATAATGCTTTTTGTTATATTTTGAGTGTTTATGGTCTGACAGGCATGGTTTTTTTTGCCACTGACACCAGTTTTCCAGCAGAGCTTAAGGCAAAATTCACACATTCCATTGTTTAAATTAAGGAGTAGGCTTCGTTGTGGAAATGTAGATGCTAAGTTCAGTAGTGAGTGAAAATGTGCTATTATTCCCTGTTGTCACTATAAACTAGGTCCAGTGTTTTTGCTGGACATGCCATGCCTATATACCTCAGAGAAAGGACTCTGTCCCATGTTTCTTTCTATTTTAGGGCAAATAGGAAAGCAATGTTGTCAGAGGGAGAATAAGTAATCTTCTTAGTACCAGGTGGCCTAAATAAGCATGTACAAATTTTCATAAGGGTTTTAAGAAAGTCTGATGCCTCACACTTAGGGACCTTGGACAGGTTGGACACCCGATAGAGGTAGAGATTCTCCACTAATGAGAAGGTAGGATATTCACCCTGGAGAGATTTTTGCCTAGGCAATAAAAAGTGATGTATTTTCCAGGATCATTTTAGCACAGTAGTACTCAGTGTACTAGACTCCAATACTTGACTCTTAGTGTTCATCATCTATATCTAAAAGAGGAAGATTGGGAAGATATTTGTATGCCTCCTTTCTCCTTTGTTCTTTGAGATGGAAAAAGTCTATATCTAATAATCAAGTAGAGTTTGCCAAGTCCCTTAGGGGATGAGTTAGAATCTTTCCTGGAGCAGAAAGATGTGCAGAAACTCAGGGATTATCATTTTGTCTCCATACACCTCTTCTGGGGAAAGGAAAGTTTGACTGCAAAGGCACTGCTGCTTTTAGTAACCCACTGAGGTTAAAAATAGGAAAAAATATATGTACTGCTTCAGCCTCAATTCTATGCCTGAATTTCTTATTTTAAAAGTATTTTATTGGTTCATTTTGTTCCAAGTTTTACTTAGATTTAAACTGAAAAATATCCACAGGCCATATAAACTTATGATTATTTGAAATCAGTGAAAAACTAGATATTAGGTAGATACTTGAAGGTATTTTATATCAATAAATTAAATTGAAAATCACCTACTTAAAATTTTAAGGCAAAGATCCTGAAACGTTAGTGTCAATGATGACAGTAGTTTATCTTTCCAAATGTTCACATAAAGACATACTAAACAACTAGACAGCAAAAATCAAACAATCAAAACACCAAAACCAACAACAAAAACCTGATAGACAGTATTTACATATAAAGATTAGTGATCAGCTGTCCCTATGAACTTCCAAATGCCAGTGGCTATAGCCATAAGTATGGCATGTTATTGGTACAGGCAAAAGAGCAAACAGGGATAATTGACAGACATGAAGAAAGGAGAGTCAAATATAGTCTGGAAATATTCACAGGAACACATGGTGAGAGAATCTGAGAACACTGGCTCCACTTAGATGGTGAGTTACTTGTTTCAGTAGGGAAAGAAAGCAAAGGGTCTGTGTTAAATATTAAAACTATTAAAATGCTGAAGCAGCTTAATTTCTATGAACTCTCAAAACAGATTCACTCAGGATCTCTTCCAAAGAAGGCCTCCTACACTAAAGAAAAGTTAGTGGGAGGAAGTTGAGGTAAAGGAACAGACAAAACAAGGAAAATCAGAAACCAAGGTGCCATAATTTTATGGCTATACAAAAATAACAGAAAGGAGATTCTGTGAAGTAGTAAAAGCTATATGAACCAAGCCTTCCTCTAAAATGAGCAACAGAGTATTAGCATCATATCCCATGCAATGTTTTCATAGGAAAAAAGAGATTATAAATAACATCACACAGGCAATGAGATATACGTTCATAAGCAAATCAAAACCCTGATATGTCAAAAAATTTTCAAAATAAAGTGAATGACCTTAAGAAAATAATATAGGACATGAATGAACAAATTATATCAGAATTGGGAAAACACTCAGAAATGAGGTGATGTGGTTGAAGACATCATTTAAAATGAAAGAAAAATATCATTTTAGACAGGAAGATTAAATTAGAGGAACCAAAATAGCAGATCAACATAACAAATGATGCCTTAAGAGAAAATATATGGAAAAAACAAAAATTAAATTAATGATAATAGAAAAAAAAAAAGACACTACATATTGAACAAACACACCTTAAATTTAAGAATGTGTACTCAGAGCAACCAACACCAAGTTATATTTCAATAAATTTACTAGGATTTAAAAAAATGAAATGAGCATTGCTTCAAAGGGCATGCGATATACAAAAGGAAAAGAAAAATAAAACCAACAAATCAACAAACCCTTTGGCACTTTCTCCCCTAAAATTGTGAAATAATATATTCACAAACTCAAGCAAATAAAATCTGAAGCAATGATTTTATTTAAAAAAAAATCCCTGACATTTGAGTTAAAAAGGCATGTGCAAACTCTTACTAATATACAGTCTCAAAAGATTTTTTTCCATAAGTCTTCTTTATAGAATCTACCAGAGAACAAAATTTATATAACAAAAATGACTAGAGAGATATAAGCATAATGAATGCTGGTAGGCCTTGAATATATAATTACTTGTAAAACTAGGATATTTTAAATTGATGTTTTAAGGGAAAGATTATAGCATATAATGGCTATACATTCTGATAATGGGGGAACATTGAAAACGATTAATGCAAAACTGATTTTAAAACTAGTTATATTTAGCTTATGTATGATCTTTTGTCTTGAAAAGGTTTTTATGAAGGCATTGTGACATGTAACTACTTTCCACGGTTCAGCATAGTGAATGATAAATTATTTTCTACCTTCTAATAAGATACATAATTTTAAGTATTTAAAAGTTATTCTGATAAATAATTCCTAATAATGGAAGTAAAGACTAAATAATCAACATTCCTTCTGTTATCTGCCAAAGGCACTAGGCACACACATTGACCTTTAGATAATATGGATCCCAATTCTCTTGTAGAAGTAATGAGTTGGCAGTTCATTAAAAAGTGTATATTTAGCATTTCTTAAGTAACAGGTACTATTCTAGATATTGAGAATTAAGCAGAGGCCAAAAAATAGACCAAAATCTCAATATATATTCTCTCACATAAATTAGTAAAATATATTCTCTCATATAAGTTTGTATACATGTATTCTCCTATGTAAAATACACATACATAAACATGTTCATGGAAAAGATAGTAAATACAAAGCAGGTAAGCCCCAGAAGGAGGAGGGTTGAACTGAGAGAGAAAGCAAGAGTCGTATCTTTAAGAACAGCTTCAGTGATGGCTAGATATATGACCAAAGGTATAAAGAAGATAAAGTTAGAAATCCTGGGGCTATCTGAAGATCTAAGGGAAGGGTGATACAAGCCAAGAACAAATGAAGAGTGTGAGATTAGATTAATCCTGGTATATGTGACGAAAAGGAAGGAGTGGGATGAGAAAGTGAGAATGAGATGAGGTCAAACATGTAACAAAGTTTGCATGTAAGTGGTGTGAAAAGAAAGTAGCCAAAATGACTGTAAATATGCATATGTAACACCAAAAAAAAAAAAAAAAAACTCACACAAATGAAAAGAAAGACATTATTTGGTGAAGAAGAAGTTAGTATTTGCTTTCATCCATTGTAAGGTTTTAAGCATCTATTAGATATTTAGGTTTAAGACATCAAAAATCTGTCTGGAGCTCTGAAAATAGGTCCAGGGTGTGTGTGTGTGTGTGTGTGTGTGTGTGTAAATCTGGAATGTTAAAGTGGGTGTAAGACCTAGGCAGTAGGATCATTCGAGGCAATGAGTTTGAGACCATCCTAGGGAACAGAGCAAGACCCTGTCTCTACCAAAAAAGAGGGAGGCTATCAATTTACGGATGTTTCTCACAGCCACAAAACTGAATGAGATTGCCTATTGAATAAGTGAGAATAGAAAAGAGTTCTATCAGAATTTAGACATCCTAACATTTAGAATTAGAGTGGTGGGGCTGGACCAACAGAGGAGACTAAGAAGAAAGATCCAGTTAAATAGAGTAAAAACAAAATAAAGGATTGAGAGAGAATTGAAAGAACAATAAACTATATTAAATAGGTCAAAAAGATACATATCTACTTTGTTGAATTTATCAATCTACAAATCATAGACAATGAACAGAAAATAATAATTTATTGGTCTTTCATGATAAGGTTAAAAATATGAGTTCATAGTC